GGTCCGAGTCATGGCAGAATCATGACGCACGTTTTTCGCATTGTTCTGCCTTGGGGGGCCCTCGCCGGGCCTCGGGATCGTCAAACAATGACTCAGGATGAAAAACTGGCCCTGGGGACGGGGCCGAGACTTGTGGGGGTCGACGTTCTGAACGAATCATGACGTCGGGGGTCTGCGTAGATGGGGTCGGAGGATCGCGCCGCATCGCCGATTCATCGGCGATGCGGCTCGATGTGGAGCCCGACTTTCTCCACGGCGACGACGCCGACATATCGCCGACGCCACCGATGCATCGCCGATGCTCCGCCGATGCGTCGCCGATGCGGCGAGATCCTCCGACCCCACCTGCTCGGACCCCATCTGGGAGGCCTCCAGTATAGGCCCTCGTTGCCTGGGCCAGGCTGGCGAAATACTGTACTCCTCCGATTCGATCCGATTCGATTTCGATGGCTCCGATTTCGAGTCGTTTCGACTTCGGTTCCTCCGATTTGTCAATGGAGGCATACTAGCCTGCCGATTCCCGCCGATTCGACTTCTCCCGACTCGGCTGCCGATTTCCGCCGATCCGATTTATTTCGATCGCCGATCTGACTTGTCGATTCCCTCCGTGGCAGGAGCTCTGGGCGGCGCCCACCGCGGGCCGGCCGGAGGAGCTCGCTGCGCTGGCCGCAGGACCCGCGCGGAGCGGCTGGGCCCAGTATCGAGGAGGAGGAGGAGGAGGAGGAGGAGGAGGAGGATTGACGAGGAGGAGGATGAGTAGGAGGATGAGGAGGAGGATGAGGAGGAGATGGGTGGTGGAGGATCGTGGAGGATCTCTTGCGATGTGATTTGTCCAGTCTTGGCGGAGTGTTCCTCGACATTTCGGTCGTCTGGAGCCCTTTTTCTAGATGGGGCGTCAACTGACCACCTCACCGATCCTGGCTGAGCCCATTCTGGGCCCAGGATCGGTGCGTCTGCGTCTCCCTGGCTGGGTGTCAGGAGGCCCAGGATGGACCCGGCCAGGATCGGTGAGGTAGTCAGTCGAACCCCGAGTTGCTTCTTTCTGGTCAGGAGGGCCGAGCACGCGACTGCCCACGATCCGATTGGATGCGATTCGTCGAAGAAGAAAAAACGCCATAAACATTGCTTCTTGCGCTCCGCGCAGATTTCTTGGATGCGCGCTGGGCCCCTCTGGCGGCGTCGGGGTCCAGCGCAGATCCAAGAAGTACGCGCGGAGCGCCGAAAGTTTATGTTCATGCAGTCTCTTTGCTCCTCTGATTCGGATCGCCAGCTTTGGCCGCGATTCCGATTCGACTCGATTCGGCCCCAATCGCCAACATTGGCCAGGGCCAGCCAGAGCCAGGCGCGGGCGGCAAGCCGATCTCGACTCGATCTGGCATGATTCGCAGGCGATCCGATCCGTTTCCTTTCCAGTCCGATTTTGCGATTCGATCCAGCGCATGCCTTGGAGAGCCACGCGAGGGCAGATCGAGCAGCTGGACGAGTATTCTCATGTGCCTGCCGGGCGCCTTTCCCGACGCCGTACCCGACGCCCTACCCGACGGTTACCCCACCCCGTACCCGACGCCGCATCCGACCGCGTCGAAGACGATGACGATGACGATGCTTGTTGAATGCTGAGCGCCCAGTATCATAGTCACATCATCGTCACGATGGCAGAGTGCGCTCAGCATTCAGCAAGCATCGTCGTCGTCGTCGTCATCGCCATCGACATCGTCATCATCTCCGTCGGTCCCTGCCCGCACCCCTCCCCCCCCTCCCCCCCCACACACACACACACGTACCCAAAGCGAACTGAGCAATCCAAACAGATTGGCTCAAACGTGCCGACGGCAAGTTTAGGCTGCACGCGCTTAAGGATGCCCAGAAGAGGGAGAAAGAGAGAAAGAGAGATAGAGAGAGATCGGACCGATTGGCGCAGCAGCGTCTGGGCGCCCCGCGGCAAGCAGCGAGCGCACCCCGCACCTTGGCCGGTGCGTGTCGGCTACGGGGCCCTACGCACCCGTCTTGGGCGATCGGCCAGGGGAGGAGGGGGAGGGAGGGGGCGAGGGGGACCCCCCCAAAGAGAGCAAGTGGTGTACTGAGAGAGAGAGAGAGAGGATACATATTTATATCGGAGGTTGGGGGGTGAGATCGAAGTGGAACGGAGAGCCCCCCTACAGGGAAATCGATTTCGGTTTCGTGTTCGTGCGTGCCGTGCGTGCGGGCGAGGCCCCGTGCACCCACCAGTACAGGCTAGGCTTTGCCAGCCGCTCTCTCCGAGCGCGCCCCGTTCCTTCGGGCGGCCGCGCGGGCTCGCCGCCGCGGCTGGAAGCGAATCGAAAAACTGGGGCGTCTGGGCCCGTGGAGTTCGGCCGTCTACATAAAAAGGGATACGCCGACAGGACGCCGGCGCGGGCCCCTGGGAGGGGTTCCGGTTCCGTTTTGAGGTTGGCGCCGAGGTCCGGTCGAGGTTTCCTGGCCCTCGGAGGCCCTGCTCGCCGCCGCGGCTGGAAACGAATCGAAAAACTGGTGCGTCTCGGCCCCTGGAGTTGGGCCGTCGACATAAAAAGGGATACGCCGACAGGATGCCGGCGCGGGCCCCTGGAGTCGTCGTTCGCCGTCGCTGTTGGAGTCGGCGTCGGTGCGTCCCTGCAGGTTCCCTTGGGGATTCCTGAATCGTTCCCGGGGCCTTGTTGTATCATCATGCCGTGCTGTATGCTGTGCCGGCGTTGACGCCGTCAGACCGCAGCCCATCACGGTGCGTGCGGGCGAGGCGAAGCTGCGTGGGCGGGCTAGTGGAAAGTCTCCTGTGGCTGAGGCGCGGCCGGACCAAATGATTCTCCACCGGGGCGCGGGGCCGCGCGGTGTCCCGCCGGTGTCCCGGTGGTGTCCTCTGTGGCTGAGGCGCGGCCGCACCAATTGATTCTCCACCGGGGCGCGGGGCCGCGCGGTGTCTCGCCGGTGTCCCGGTGGTGTCCCGTCGGTGTCCCGTCGGTTTCCCGATGATGATGTTGATGATGATGATTATTATTATGATGATGATGAAGATGATGATGATGATGATGATGATGATGGTGATGATGATGTTGATGATGATGATGATGGTGATGATGATGATGATGATGATGTTGATGATGGCGATGATGATGATGATGATGATGATGATGATGATGATGATGATGATGATAATGATGATGATGATGACGATGTCGATTGTGAGATCGATTGTGATCGGAGGTTGGGGGGTGAGATCGAAGTGGAACGGAGAGCCCCCCTACCGGGAAATCGATTTCGGTTTCGTGTTCGTGCGTGCCGTGCGTGCGGGCGAGGCCCCGTGCACCCACCAGTACAGGCTAGGCTTTGCCAGCCGCTCTCTCCGAGCGCGCCCCGTTCCTTCGGGCGGCCGCGCGGGCTCGCCGCCGCGGCTGGAAGCGAATCGAAAAACTGGGGCGTCTGGGCCCGTGGAGTTCGGCCGTCTACATAAAAAGGGATACGCCGACAGGACGCCGGCGCGGGCCCCTGGGAGGGGTTCCGGTTCCGTTTTGAGGTTGGCGCCGAGGTTCGGTCGAGGTTTCCTGGCCCTCGGAGGCCCTGCTCGCCGCCGCGGCTGGAAGCGAATCGAAAAACTGGTGCGTCTCGGCCCCTGGAGTTGGGCCGTCGACATAAAAAGGGATACGCCGACAGGATGCCGGCGCGGGCCCCTGGAGTCGTCGTTCGCCGTCGCTGTTGGAGTCGGCGTCGGTGCGTCCCTGCAGGTTCCCTTGGGGATTCCTGAATCGTTCCCGGGGCCTTGTTGTATCATCATGCCGTGTTGTATGCTGTGCCGGCGTTGACGCCGTCAGACCGCAGCCCATCACGGTTCTGTGTTCGGAGAGTTCCCGCGGACCTTTGGCCGCGGCCATGGCCGCCGCCGCCCGCATGCTCAGACATGCGCTGCCTGTGTCCCAGGGCCAGGCTTTGCCAGCCCCAGGGACAGAGGCACCCTACGCGAGCTCGCGCAGACTCGCGCAACGATACGAATACAAGGGCACTTCCTTTTCGGGCATGGTGGGACTCCATCCTCAGCGCGTGCTGACTCGGGAGGAGTTCAAGACGAACTTGCTGGCAGCACCAGGCGTGCTGAAGGTTTCTGTGTTTCCAAAGATGTTTGTGGGCACTCGGCGTTTGGGTTGGCCATTTGGGATTTCGGGGGTCTTCGGGGGCCTCTTTGGGGGGAGCCATCTTGAGCCATCTCTGGTTATCTTGAACCATAGTGGAGGCCATATGGGGTTCCCCGGGAATGCTTACGAGGGTGACCCTCAGGTCGTGGACAAGAGCTCCAAGACCTCGCAGGGCAACCGAGGCGACCGCGTCTTCGAGCAGAACCTGGAAGTCCACCTGCACCGCGAGCCCCATGTAGCTCTGGAATTCGAGATCACGCGGAACAACCACATGAAGCACGTGGAGGGGCGCCCTTACACTGAGACAGCGATGTTCAAGGACCCCCCCCCCCCAAACGGCATCACGCGGCGGCGTGGCGCGTGCTCTTGCACGCCGTCGAGAGCCGGGAGCTCCTTCCACAGCATGCCCGCGACTACTGCAAGAACTGCCTGACGAGACACGGTACCTGGGAAGACGACGTGCTCCCAGAGGGCCTGGGGGGGATCCCGGTTGAGCCAGGCTTTGCCAGTCCTGCGGGGTCTTCCAGCTCTCCGACGCAGGCGCCAGGCCTTCCAACAGCGCCAGGCCTTGCCAGCTCTCCGACGCAGGCACCGAGTCGCAAGCCAACGTTCCCGTATCCTTTCCAGAACGCTCCCGTGATGCCCAGGGGCCAGGCGACCGCCTCTGCGGCGCGGGTGGGACCCTGCCCCACCGAGTCGACCTCAATGAGTCAGGGTGGCCGCGGGGCCCCGCTTGAGCCAGGGTTTGCCAGTTCTGCGGGGGTGGAAACTTCAATAAATCAAGGCGGCGCGACCAGGCCTCCTGCCAAGAAGAGTAAAGCGGCGCCCAGGGGTGCCGCGATCGCCCCTGCGGCGCAGGTGAGCGGAGGGGCGCGCCAGGCCTCCTGCCCGGAGGGCCTCAACTACTGCGAGGCTGGGGTCGCGGAGCTGAGAGCGTTCGAGCGGGGCGGGAACATTGCATCGTTGGTCAAGGCCCAGGACCTTCTGCTCAAGGGGGTCGAGCGCATCTCGGACGTCTTGCCCGAGGGGCGCGATTTGGACGGCACCGAGTGCGAGACGCTAGGTGCGGAGTTCAACCGCTTCGTGGAGATCGCGGAGGATGCGCGCGTGCGCATGCGGACCGAGTTGGAAGCGGCAAGGAGGCCAGCGGGCGGGGGGCAAGCGGTGGCAGGCGAAGCCCAGGGGTCGGGGCCAGGCTTTGCCAGCCCGGCGACCCAGGGGCAGAATAACGAGGACGAGGCGGATGCGGAGAAGACGCCGCCAGGGTTCGACCCCGAAGCCGTTTGGACAGAGGATGCGGCGGACGTGCACCAGTTCGACATCACGGCTGACCTGCGCGAGGAGCTGGCCGAGAAGCCCGATGGGGGCCCGGCCGCCGCCCGTGAGTCCAGGGAGGTCCGCGCTGCACTCGGCGCCGAAGTTCTTCCCATCCCGTATTTTTTGATGCTTGTGCAGGGTCAGCCGATGGCCAGCAACGCCGCCCTGGACGATGTTCGTGCTATGAAGAGTCGCGGTGTGGAGCACGCGCGGCACCGAGTCATCGATGAGCCCGACGATCCCGAGGTGCAGGACAACATCGACAGGATGCGCCGCGAGGCCTGGGAAAAGCACGAGGAGCGGAGGACATGCGCCCGTGGCCTGGACACGCGGGGCATGTTCTTGGGCCGCGAACTGGTGTGCGTCAAGCTGATCAGTGCCGGCGCGGTGCCCATGACTCCGAACGAGTTTTTGAATGCGGCGTCTAAGAGGTCTCTCTGCGTCAAGGATCTGTCGCGGCCACCTCCAAACACGCAGGCGCTGGGGGGGCCGCTTGCGCATGCTCGCGCTGCGGGAGCATTGCCAGACGTTGTTCAAGGAGCTCCCGGATAAGGCAGCGCAGAAGTTTTCGCCGAATCAGCTGGGGGACGACGACGGACCATCGAAAGCGCTGGTGGGTTTTATCAATCACCACCCTGGCGAGGTGGTGGAGCTGGACGGGTGCAGAACGCAGTGCTGCCTTCGCAAGGTCGCACCAGGCATTGCCAGTGCCGCGCAATTCGAGAATCCACAGTTCTGGTGCGTGCAAGGTGGTTACACCGTGGGGCGACGCCCGGAGGGGCGGTGCGAGCACGGCCGGCGCGGGTCCGAGCTCTTCGCCAAAGCCGTCGACGCACAGGCCCAGCGCGAGGCCGCCGCCGTGAACGAGGGCGAGGACATCAACCCACAGGTCTACATGCCCGCCTGGGCCCGCCAGTGGAGCAGGGTATGCGTTCCGTGCGAGGCGGTCGAGACGCACGAGTGGTGTCGGCAGAGCCCCGTCACGACGCTGGGGGAGCTCTTCTGGGACTTGGGCCGGACGCACACGGCCAAGGCCATCTACGCCTTCTACAGGGCGCTCCGGCTGGTCGCGTTGAAGAGGGACAAGAACAGTTCCACCAAGGCGAGCAGTGCGCCGGGCTTTGTCAGCGCATCTCGGCCAGCTGGGTCGGCAGCTACTTTCGGTTTCACAGGGTCCGACCTCCAGGCGCCCCGCATCCGCGCAGATTACTCGTGCCCGGCGACCGACCGCGAGGTGCTCGCGGAGGACTACATAGAGGCGGTGGGCTTGTCCACAGCGTACGTCAGCTCCAAGACCAAGCAAGAGTTGCTGGACGAGGCTGCGAAGTGCGCGACGTTGGTGTTGCTTCGGGACATGCGCCCGCCGTGGCTGGATCACGTGTTCCCCCAGGCCATGCCAGGGGATGGCTTGTTGTCCAAGTTCACCAGGCCGTCTTTCCTCTACTGGGGCCAGCTTCCTCGACATGCTTTTCGGCGCCGCTCTGGGAAGCGATCTCAACGACCAAGCGGTCAGCGTCGACTACCAGCTGGCGGGTGTCATCGCGCGCCCCCTGTATGAGTGCACGCAGATCGTCGACGCCAGCACTGGAGCAGCGTGCATGAACGTCGCGTCGATGTCAAGGCTTTTGCGGGGCACCGCGCGTCGGGGCCACTACGCGTGCAAGGAGTGTGCCGAGAGGAAACAGGGCGCCGATGAGACGCCAGGCTTTCCCAGTGTTGCCCCTCGCGCCCTGCGCTTGCACCCCGCGGTGTTCGGGCCGGATGGCGAGCCCACGCCGCTTCGCGCGATGACGCCCCATCGCGCGTTCGCGCACGCGCCCCCGGAGAATTGGATGTGGGACGTCGAGCGAGTCCAGCGCCACGTGGTGACCCAGGCGAACCCCGCGATATCCGCGGCCACGCCGACATGGTACACTTACAACGCGGAGGAGAGCAAGGCCATTTGGATCGCATCCAGTGCGTACAAGGCCACGCCGCCGAGCAAGACGTGAATGGAAGGGGGGCACTGGCTGCGCCAGGCTTTGCCAGCGCTTGCAGGCTCCTGCATCATGAAGGATATAGTTTTTGATTTCGCGTAGGCTGCGCCAGGCTTTGCCAGCGCTTGCCAGGCCGTGCGCAGGCTGCGCGTAGGCTTCGCCAGCGACCCCTGGAGTTGGTCTGCCTACATGAAAAGGAATACGCCGACAGGACGCCGGCGCGGGACTCCGGGAGTGGCCCCGGTGCCGTTTTGAGGTTGGCGCCGGGGTTAGGCGGAGGTTTCCTGGACCTCGGAGGCCCTGCTCGCCGCCGCGGCTGGAAGCGAATCGAAAAACTGGTGCGTCTGGGCCCGTGGAGTTGGGCCGTCTACATAAAGAAAGATACGCCGAGAGGACGCCGGCGCGGGCTCCTGGGAGGGGTCCCGGTCCCGTTTTGAGGTTGGCGCCGAGGTTAGGTCGAGGTTTCCTGGCCCTCGGAGGCCCTGCTCGCCGCCGCGGCTGGAAGCGAATCGAAAAACTGGTGCGTCTCGGCCCCTGGAGGTGGGCCGTCGACATAAAAAGGGATACGCCGACAGGACGCTGGCGCGGGCCCCTGGGAGAGGTCTCAGTTCCGTTTTGAGGTTGGCGCCGAGGTTAGGTCGAGGTTTCCTGGCCCTCGGAGGACCCGCTCGCCGCCGCTGTTGGAAGCGAGTCGAAAAATTGGTGCGTCTGAATTGGTGCGTCTGGACCCCTGGAGTCGATCTGTGTACATACAAAGGGATGCGCCGACAGGACGCCGGCGCGGGCCCCTGGGAGAGGCTTCGGGTCCGTTTTGAGGTTGGCGCCGAGGTTAGGTCGAGGTTTCCTGGCCCTCGGAGGTTTTGCTCGCCGCCGCGGCTGGAAGCGAATCGACAAACTGGTGCGTCTGGGCCCCTGGAGTTGGTCCGTCTACATAAAAACTGGATACGCCGACAGGACGCCGCCGCCGTCGCTGTCGCAGCAGTTCTCATCAATTGCATTTGCACCATGTGCAACCCGACAAAGGGAGGGAGAGGAGCCTCAGCAGGCCTCCGAGAAAAAATCTCCACTGGCATCGTCAGGAGAACAATCACCACTGTTGCCGATTGCTCTGCCCCTCCACCCCCCCGACCTCCTTATCACCCGCAGGGTGGTCGTATATGTATAAATATGTATATAAGAGCGTGAGCGAGAGAGAGAGAGAGAGAGAGAGAGTGAGAAAGAGAGAGAGAGAGAACAAACATACAGAGACAGAGAGAGAGATATAGAGAAAAAGAGAGAGATTGAGAGAAACAAAAATGGGAGAGAGAAAGAGAGAGAGAGAGAGAGAGAGAGAGAGAGAGAGAGAGAGAGAGAGAGAGACAGAGAGAGAGAGAAAAAAACAGAAAAAGAGGGACAAGGCAGAGCTGGGCAAATGTTCCCCCCCCCCACCCCCCAGCTTCTGCAACAGCCACTTGCACCATCTCCGCCCCCCTCCCCGCCCTGGCCCCCCCGGACTTGGCGCCAGGCGTCCTCGTGTCGCACGGAGCCAGGACGAGGACGAGGACGAGGACGGCAACGAGGACGAGGACGAGAACGAGGACGACGACGACGACGACGACGAGGACAACGACGACGACGACGACGACGACGACGACGACGACGACGGCGAGGACGACGAGGACGACGACGACGACGACGACGACGACGACGACGACGACGACGATGACGGGGCGTTCTTGAGCGCTCGCAGGGCGCTCCGGAACGCTTTGAGAAGGCCGTGGCGCTCGAGACGTCCTCCTGAGCCGCCAGATCCAGAAATTTTCTCGATGTATCTTTTCCCGAATGTGTCCATGCCCTGGCTTCGTCTTATCGCTCACCCTCTCGTGCCCACTGTCTCTGTCACGCGCAGAGGGGGGCAGGGAGAGGGGGCGAGGCTTAAGTCGGGCCTGTCCCTCTACATGAGGAGTATTCAAAAATAGTCCAAAATTAGTCTGGGGACGATTGTTTGGGCATTTTTTGATGATTTGGGGGTATTTCTTCGACTTTTTCCCAACCCTCCTGCGTTGGGTACTCGTTTTGAATAGAGCACTGCGGTCTCCACCTTCCTTCCTTCCTTCCTTCCCGCCTCCTCCTCCTCTCTTCCCTCTTCCTCTCCTCTCTTGCTTCCCTTCTCCGTCTCTCTTCGCTCCTCCTTTTCTCTTCTCTTCTCTTCTCTTCTCTTGCCTTTTACGTCATCTCTGGGGGGCTGCGATCTGCGGAACTGTCACCACTTTCGAGGGCTGCTGGTGGGTCCAGCGGAGTGAGGCACCACGGGGATTCAGATTAGACCTCGCCATCCCTGGGGGGGGGGGCTGCGATCTGTGAAACTGTCGCCACTTTCGAGGGCTGCTGGTGGGTCCAGCGGAGTGAGGCACCACGGGGACTCAGATTAGACCTCGCCATCTCTGGGGGGGGGCTGCGATCTGTGAAACTGTCGCCACTTTCGAGGGCTGCTGGTGGGTCCAGCGGAGTGAGGCACCACGGGGACTCAGATTAGACCTCGCCATCTCTGGGGGGCTGCGATCTGTGAAACTGTCGCCACTTTCGAGGGCTGCTGGTGGGTCCAGCGGAGTGAGGCACCACGGGGACTCAGATTAGACCTCGCCATCCCTGTGTGAAACTGTCGCCACTTTCGAGGCTGCTGGTGGGTCCAGCGGAGTGAGGCACCACGGGGACTCAGATTAGACCTCGCCACCCCTGGGCGGCTGCGATCTGTGAAACTGTCGCCACTTTCGAGGGCTGCTGGTGGGTGGCCAGCGGAGTGAGGCACCACGGGGACTCAGATTCTGACCACGAGCAATGCTCGCGTGCCCTTGCTCTGCGGTTCGTGCCACGTGGCGCTGCGACTCGAGCTGGCGGTCGTCCTTCGGACCCGCAGAAACATCTGCTGAGCTCGATGAGCTAGGGGAACTACAGGAAAGAAGTGCAGGAAACGGAGGCCGGTCATGCACTCGCCGATACCTCGTTGCTCTGTCATCGTCTTTGCTGTTGCATGATCCTTATCTGGCCTGCCGGCGCCGCGGCTCGAGCTGGCGGTCGCCCTTCGGGCCCGCGGGAAATCTTCTGAGACAAGTGGACGCCGCCGCCTTACGTGCAGGCAGCGCATTGCATTCGCGGACAGCAGCATGGCAGACCGCAGTGAGATCCTCAGTCGCGCGGTGTTGCCAAGCCTGGTGGAGACGCGCGTGATCGACCTGAAGTCCCAATCGCGCGTGCACTGTACCTGCGTGGCGTTCAGGCACGCGCGTGATGCTGCTCGCTCCGCGTTCAACCAGTACGTCGCCAGTGCAACTTTGGACGATGGACAACCGATTGATGATACGCGACCCCGGCCTTGAGTTTCTTTCCCGCGGGCCGCCCGCAGACCTGGCGGCGCGCCTGCGAGCGTTCAGCTCCCGCGCTGAAATGTGCGGGAAGGAGGCGGAGAAGCTAGCGGGCGAGCTACGCCTCGCTCGTTCCTTGCACTCTAAACAAGTTTTATCATGTGGAACTCTGCGACGACATGGCGCAGGCAGCGCTGCGGGTTTAGCTCGCGCTTGGAAAACGCGGCAGTCTTCTGTCTCCTCCCGCCACTTTCATCGTCGTCCTATTCCCCGCCTCACCTTCTCCATGCGTGCTGCTGCTTCCGCGATGGCCTTTCGCCCCCCCCGCCCTCCATTCCATCCCTCTCCTACCCCTCGTTCCCGTGCCCGTTCTTCTTCGATCCTGGGGCCTCATGCCTCGTTCTTTCGATCGTCGTCCTGTGAATCGTGCGACGCATGCGCGTCCCATGCAGCAAATCGCCGCGTCTACACTGTCGTTGTTCCTGCTAATGTTGGCATACTCCTCTTGCCATTTGATGCGCGTGGGTTGGGTACGTCGCAGGGTAATTTCTTATTTTTTCGTCCAAAACCCTCCTGTAGGGGGACACGTTCGACTGAACGCGAGGCTGCTTCTCAGAAGGTGCGGATGTGGGGCCAGGGCTTTCGAAGTAGCGGCCTCTTTGTAGGAAGCGTTCCCCCCTCCCCTTGCCCACCTCTGCGCGTGGCCGACCCTTGGCCCTCTGGGCATAACTCGGGTCTTCGTCGGCCGTTCGGGACGATTCGGGCACCCCCCAGACGCTCTCGACGAGGCGCTTCTTGACGAGCGCGTCCTGGATTTTGGCGGTCCAGTTTTCGTGGGATGTCTGCAGCGAGAGCTCCAGTCACATTCAGACCGGGTCTTGCTATTTTCATGATGGCCCCGTCAGGCCGACCCGAATCCCCCAAACTCGAGTCTTGCGTCTCCCCGATTATGATAGCACGATGGGAGGAGGAGGAGGAGAAGGAGCAGGAGGAGGAGCAGGAGCAGGAGGAGGAGGAGGAGGGAAATGAGGAGGAGGAGGGGGAGGAGGAGGAGGAGGAGGAGGAGGAGGAGGAGGAGGAGGAGGAGGAGGACAAGGAGGACGAGGAGGAGGAGGAGGCGACCCAGATCTCCAGCGATTTGATTTTTCAACTGGCGAACTGGCGAATTTTCTTCGACTTCGGCCCCTGGGGCCTGCCTTCGGGCCACAGGGCCGTCACAAATTGGCCCCGGGCGAACAAAAGCCTTCCGGGGGCATTTCGGTTGTTGTAACTCGGCATTTTTTGATGCCCAGATCCCAATCTACTTTAGGCGCATTCCTACCTCAAGGATCGAGTGGTGGTCCTTACTCCTTGGTCTTCAGGGGGCGGGCGCAAGCCCATCTACTTCCAACGCCTGTCTACTTCTTGCTTCTACCCACTTCCTCCGACCGACGGGTAGTGGTTGGGACATTTGGGACCGCGGATTGAAAACAACACATCGCCGGCTGTCCGAGTACTGCGAAGGCCTCACCACGGCCGGTGCCGCCGCCCCCCCGGGGGACGTCGCCCCCCTGCAAGGTCGTCTCCCCGGGACGACGACGTAGACGCTGACGCTTTGTAGCCGAAATCTTTTTGCAGGGAGGGGTGCAGGGTATTTTTTGGTTGATCAGAAGCCTCGGGTATGTTTCACAGACGCAACAAGTCGCCGATTCCCCAGAAAATGGAAACGAATAGAAATGGATGGGACGACGACAATCCAGAAACTATTAGAACATGTAGGCAATCATGGGATTCGTATCTATTTATTTGTGTGTCCCTGGGCCCCTGTAATGTTTTCTGGTCAGTGGAAGTTTTAGAGGGCCATGCGATCACCGACGCCGACGAAAATTGCCGAGGAGCTGAGATCGTGGTTCCCCTGGACCAGTCCATTGGGTTGGGCAAGGACCGCCAGCTGCGCTGGGAGATGTGCATGCTGGATCCGATGAGGCTCGCCTTGATGGAGTGGTGAGAGGGAGGGTACATGAATGAAGGCAAGTCGGGCACGCTCACTTTTTTGGGTCTATCCGCAGCGGGGAACGTTGTCCGCCAGTTGTATCTGACACGCTTTATCAACACCGATTCCAACGACATCTCAGATCTCAAGAGAGACCGTCCAGTTTATCAGCCTTGTCTCGTGGTGGCGTGAGCTAGGGTGTAGTCGTACAAATTGCATCGTGCAACCGTGTCAGATGCTGATCACATCGAGCGAAGAGAACTGTGCACATGCACTGATCCTGGCAAGGTCCAGGACTGACCCAGGATCGGTGCATGTGCCTTCCCGGCCAAGGCAGGAGGACAAATGCACCTATCCTGGGTTCAGGATTGGCTTGGCCAGAATCGGTGTACAGTCGGGGCGCTGAAGACGGAACCCTTCTCATTGGGCAGGGGCTCAGCGTTCCTTGGTTGTTTTTCAGTTCGCCTTCGGTTTTCCTACGGTTTTCGATGGGACATCGAATTTGAAGTTATGGAAACATGTGGCCTCGTTCCTTGTTCCTTAGGTCGGCGCCCAAACTGTATGTACATAGCTCTCTTTCCTCGATCACAGCTGCAGCAGAAGCCGCTACCTTGACGCTGCCCTGCAGGCGCTGCCGAGCACCATGCCGCGCACTCGCTCGGAGGCTGTTGCATCTGCGCGCGTCGTGGATTGACTGGTTTGCAGCAGCGGCGTCTGGAGCAGGAGCAGGAGGAGGAGGAGGAGGAGGAGGAGGAGGAGAGAAGGAGGGAACGAGCGAGAGAGGAGGAGGATACTGGATTTCACACAGTTGTATGCCACCCTTGCTCAGACAACTGACGGAGAGGCGTGTGACTTGGTCAATACTCAAGAGCCTTGCGCCATTCCGCCGACCCCAAGGAAGATGGAGGAGCGCATGGAGGTTGTCTGGTAGCGTCTGGTTTCTTTGTATGCCTTTGAGGGGCCTCTTGGGGCGGTCTTGGGGGCATCTTGGGCCTCGTGGGGGCCTGTCGGGGGCCTCCTTGAGGCCTCTTGTGGGCCTCTTGGGGGCGCCTCGGGGGCCTCTGAGCGGCTCTCGAGGACATCTTTTGGGTGAAAAGGCTCGACATGCTAGTTCGTATTGCCCCTCTTGAGCCCCTCTTGTGCGCCTCTTGGGGTCCTCTTGGATCGTCTTAGGGGCCTGTGGGGCTGTCTTGGAGCCCTCAGAGGCCGTTTTAGGGCTTCCTTATGGACCTCATGAGCTGTCTTGGGACGATCTTGCGGGCTTCTTGGGCCGTCTTGGCCGCTGTCGAGACCCAAAAAGCAACGATATCAAACGCATACGTTTTCCCAAAGGGAATTGAACCATTTTTGCTTCTTGGGGCCCTCTCGGCGGTCCTCTGGGAGCGCTCTTGGGCCGTCTTGGAGGCCTCGTTGGCCGTCTTGAAGCAATCGTGGATAGTCGTGGGAGTACCCTGGACCGTTTCGTCGCTTTCTTGGACTGTCTTCGCGCTCTGTCTGGGCTCTCTGGGGTCTTGAATGAGCTTTTTAGAGGCTCCTGAGACCCCAGGGGCGCGTTGACGAGTTCGTACCCCTGCCAGTCAAACAGGATTTTGGACCCCAGGGAAGGGGGAAATGGGCAGGGGCACTGAAAGCGTAAGCACGCCCTGATGAGTTCATTTTTGTAGCCTGGCCAGGTCAAGGTCCAGGGGTCGTCATAACGCATTGGACACTGACATGTGCAATCCTGCACGTACGAGAACCAGTCAAAGGCGACTTGTCGACGACATCAACGCTGGCCTTTTGATCAACATCTGCCCTGAGCAGGTGCAACATATCAGCATGAAACTTGTCGAGTTGACTATTGTTTGGGTGTCCGCGGAGATATTGTTTATGATCTTGGCAATTCACCGAACAGAGCATACATTTAGGGTTTCGAGCTTCTCTCACCAAGGATTTGGTTGGGTCCAGCGAGGATTCCCCACATTGCCGCCCATGGCCGCCTCGTGGCCGCCTCGTGCGCATGGTGGGTCCAGCGAGGTTTCGCCACATTGCAGCCCATGGCCGCCTCGTTCGCTGGTTGGGTCCGGCGAGGTTTTGCCACGTTGCCGCCCGTGGCCGCCTCGTGGCCGCCTCGTGGCCGCCTCGTGCGCATGGTGGGTCCGGCGAGGTTTTGCCACGTTGTCGCCCGTGGCCGCCTCGTGGTCGCTTCGTGCGCTGGGTGGATCTGGCGAGGTTTCGCCACGTTGCCGCCCGTGGCCGCTTCGTGGTCACTCCTTGATATTGCACTGTATAGCTTGCACTGCGTATATTGCACCACTTATATTGCATTATATAGCTCACACCACATGGATCGCATTACATGTATTCACATACATTGCGCTATATAGCTCACGCTGCATAGGTCGCACCACATAGATAACACCACATAGCTTGCATCACACAGTTCACATCCCATAGGTTTTAACCATATATGTATGTATCTATATATACACATACATATATATATATATATATATATATATATATATATATATATATATATATATATATATATATATATATATACACATAACGGCGCACCGGGCCCGGGGGCCGAGAGCCGGAACCTCGACTGCAAATCTGGGCACGGGAGCCTGGGCACGCCTCTGGGAGGCCTAACATCGCCCCGGGGAGTCCTCAGACAGCAATCCTGGCGGCCCCAAACGGTCTCGAGACACCCCCAAGACGCCGTCCAGGGGTCTTTGGCGACGCACCATGCATTTTAAACTGCACCAGAGGCCCCCAAGACGCCTTTAAGATGCCGCCCAAGAGCGCCCCGAGAGGGCAAAAGCATTGATTATCTTTTGTTTATTTCAATATGTTTTTTTTCATTCTCGCTGTTCTGTGTTTCATGCGCTACAGCACCGCCCAAGAGGCTCCCCAAACTGCTCCAAGACGGGCCAAGAGGCTCCCAAGAGGGCCCCAAGACGGCCCAAGAGAGCCCCGAGACGGCCCCAGAGCCGCCCAAGATGGCGCAAGATGCCCCCAGGAGGCCTCAAGAGGCCCCCAAGATGCCTCCAGGAGGCCTCAAGAGGCCCCCAAGAGGCCGCAGGATGCGTTTTAAGCTGCCCCGGAGGCCCCCAAGACGCCCCAAGAGGCCTTTAAGATGCCGCCCAAGAGTGCCCCGAGAGGGCAAAAGCATTGATTGTCATTGCTTTTTTAAAATATTTTTGTTTGCATTCTCGCTGTTTCGTGTTTCCGGCGCTAAAGCACCGCCCAAGAGGCTCCCCAAACCGTTCCAAGACGGCCCGAGAGGCTCCCAAGAGGGCCCCAAGACGGCCCAAGAGAGCCCCGAGACGGCCCCAGAGCCGCCCAAGATGGCGCAAGAGGGTCCCAAAGAGGACCTAAGAGGGGCCCAAGAGAGGAAACGCGAACTGAAAAATCAAACTCTCCGCCCCAAAATGCCCCCAAGAGGCCCCGAGAGGCCCCCAGGAAGCCCCCAAGAGGTCTCTTGGGGTGCCTTCGGGCCGTCTTGAAGGTTATTTGGGCCGTATTTGGGGCCTTTTGGGCCGTCTTGGGGCCATCTTGGAGGCCTCTTGGGCGATCTTGGGGCGATGTTCGGGGGCTCTTGGGCCGTCTCTGGCCGTCGGAAGGCCGAAAAGAAACATACGCTAAAATCTTGCAACAACCTCGAGAAAATCAATGACTTTTTCCTATTGGGGCCTTCCTGGAGGACCTCTTGGAGGCCTATTGGGCCGTCTTGGAGGCCTCTTGGGGGCCTCTTGGGCCGTCTTGGGCCATCTTGGGGCCATCTTGGGCCGTCTTTGTGGCCGCTTGGGCAGACTTTGAGGCATCTCGGACCGTCTTGGGTTGGCCTGGAGGCCATCTTGGACCATCTTGGGCGAACTTCAAGGCAATTGTGGCAATCTTGGAGGCCCTCTTGGGCCATCTCTGAGGCATCTGGAGTGGGAAAAACGTTTGCAACCACCTCGCCCGGAGCATTCCAGTTGGCGGGCGCGCTGGGCCAAAGCCCTGAGGGAGTTCTTTTCGAAATGAACCAAAACCAACCCTTCAGGACATCTAGCACGCTAAGCATCCCTGTGGTAAGTCTACCGGGGGCGGCGGAGATCCTGCTGCCTACGGCAAGTCTCGCCATCGTGCCTGGGTTGTGGATTAGAAGCCCAGTGGATGTTCGGTGGAATCCCGTGGGAGGCTTCCCGGTGGCCTCTTGGAGGCAGTTTTGAGGCCTCTTGGTGGCCGTTTTGGGGCCTCTTGGGGTCTCTTGGGGCCTCTTGGGGACCTGTTGGGGGTCTTTTGGGGCCTCTGGGCCGCCTTTTGGGGCCTCCTGGGGGCCCCTTGGGACAGAAGGCTCGGAGTTTCGGTTCGTGTTCCTTCTTTCTGAGGCCTCTTTTGAGGCTGCCTGGGGGCCATTTTGGGCCGTCTTGGGCGCCTCTTGTGCCGTCTTGGGGCGCTCTTAGGCCGTCTTGGGGCCCTCTCGGAGGCCTCTTGGGCAGTTTTGGGGTGGTCTTGCGGGTCTCTTGGGCCGTCTTGGAGCGTCGGAAAGCCGAAACTCGAGAACGCCACAATTTTTCAAGCACGCCAGAAAAATCAATGTTTTTTTCCTTTGGGGGCTTGGGATGCCTCTCGGAGGCCTCTTGGGGTGCCTTGGAAGCATCTTGCGCCATCTTGAGGCCATCTATGGCGTCTTCGAGCGATGGTTTTGCGACTCGGGGCCCTCTTGGACCGTCTTGGGGGCCTCCTGGGATGTCATGGAAGCCTTGCGGAGTCCCAGGGAGGCGCCATGGACGCCCAGGGACCCCCCGGGAGTATGGCCAGTGCGCGCAACGCGGTGCGGCCCAGAGGGGGGGGGTCCCTTTTCGAAGATTGCAGAAACCTTGCCAGACAGAGCTCGGCATTCTACCACGCCTCAACGTGCCAGGGGGGACGGGGGCGGATCAAAAGGTATTTTTCCCAAGAGTCCATTGCAACACATGTCACATAGTCCATGCGCGCGCACATGGCGAAATCATACCAAGCGCACCAGTGTTGCAAGCATTTCAACTTGAACACATCGAAAGTCCATAGGTTTTCCCTGACGCATCTTGTTGGGTTCCTCCCCGCGCGCATTCTCGTCCAGAATCCGCAATCTTGTCCAGAATCCGCAATCTTGTCCAGAATCCGCATCTCATCACGCGGTGCGTCTGCGTTGATCTAGCTTGCGCCAATTTCACGGATCCGTGCGGAATCGTACAGTGCAGGCCATGCGCGCGCCGCCACGCGCACCTGTAGAAATCATTTCAAAACCAATGGCTTTCGAAACGTTCGAAGACACAGCATCAATCGATACAGCTTGTCTTGTTCAGCAGCAAGCTTGCAATGGTGCTGAGATTTTCGCGTGCGCGCACTTCCTCATCATCACCCTCACCATGGCCACCGCACCACTGCTGTTATCGTCATCGCCAATCGCCGCAATTGCCGCCGTCATCAGCCAATCACCTTCATCAACGAAATCATCATCATCATCATCATCATCATCATCATCATCATCATCATCATCATCATCATCATCACTATAATCATCATCATCATAATCATAATCAGCATCATCATCATCATAATCATCATCATCATCATCATCATCGTAATCGTCGTCACCAGCATCGGCGTCGGCGCCGTCATTGGCATTGCCTTCGTCATCGTCATAATCGCTCCCACCATCGCTACTATCATCATCGTTGCCGTCATGGTCGACGTCATCATGATACCGCGCCCTCCCGGGTCACCGACCCGCATTGGAGTTCCCGTTCGCCAGCGCGGTCTGTGAGACGCGTTGGGAAGTTGCCGTCAGTAAGCGCCATCGCGTTCGCATCAGCTCTGCAAAACTAGCTGGCCGCTCTGCGCGCGAGCCTGCGCCTTCTCGCGCAGCCGCCGCGGTGATGCGGCCAGCCGGTGCCAAATAGTCAACGCAATCGCGGCCGCATGAGTTGTGCAAAACAAACTGCGGGTGAGAGAGTGGGTTGATTGCGCCAACAGTTGAGCTGATGGCTTCCAAACGCTGCAAGGTGGAATTCGCAGAAGTTGCACATTTTTAATGCGTCACCAATTACACTTGTTGTGTTAATCACATAAATGTTCTTGTAAATATGTATATACAAACATATCACACATCGTGCAACACCCAACTGTTTAGGGCTCACGCTGTCAAACATGTCGTTCACTTCTAGATCTTCTTGTCGCCCTCCCTGCCACCGAGCAGCAGAGACAGCTGGGAACCACTGTCGCAGGCCCTGGTCGCCGACGAGCCCGTTGCCGTGTAGCTGGTTCAAAGCACATTGCGCATGGCTTCTGTTGGCGCAGTGCCTGCGGCAAAGGGGCGAGCAAATGACTATGCTTCTCTTTCTCTCTTTCTCTTCCTTTTCTCTCTCTTCTCCCACTCGTACATGAATGGGCACAAGATTTGACGGCCTGCTTCCCTTCGCCCCAACCTTCGACCGCTGTTCCTGCACGACGCCTGGCGCCATCACAATGACGAGGGGCGTGGGGAGCTGACGGAGTTCAACACAGATTGTCGCGACCTGGGTGAAGGGTAGCTGATGGATGGATCTCCCGGAGGTTCTCGTGCCGCACCGTTTGCGCCGTCTCGTCGTGAGCTCTGTCGTCGGGGAGCTGCTCTCGCACGTCTCCGAGGCCCTGCCGGTCTGCAGCGAGGGTTCTTTCGGACTGGGGCAGAACCAGGGCTGGAGGAGGAGGAGGGGAGAGGGGATGGCCGAGGCACGACGTGCTGGCGAGGCTGCGCGGGTCTGACTGCGCGGGGGACCTTGCCAAGGCCGGTGCGGCACGGGAGGCGGGAGGCGGCGGGACGGGGGTCTCCAGAGCCCATGGCCAACGACGTCCACGGCCTCCCCAGACACTCGACGTCACGATTTTTCCTGGGGACGGGGGGCCCCCAGCACTCTGGACCCCGTCCTGGGGGCCTGGTGAATGAGGGAGGAGGGAGTGAGGAAGGGTGAGGATGAGGATGAACTTGGTGCTGATGAGGATGAACGTGGTGGTGGTGGTGTTGGTTGTGACGACGACGACGACCACGACGTCGACGAGGACGAAGATGATGATGACGATGACGACGACGATGACGACGACGATGACGAGGAAGATGACGAAGATGATGATGACGATGATCATGAACATGATGATTGTGATGATGATGCTCAGCATGATGAGGATGATGATGGCGATGATGGTGATTATGATGACGATGCTGATGACGATGATGATGATGGTGATGCTGATGATGATAATGATGATGATGATGATGATGGCGATGATGATGCTGCTGACGACGACGATGATGATGCATGTGGTGGTGGTGGTGCTTCTGCTGATGGTGATGCTGATGGTGATGGTGATGGTGATGATGCTGGCTGTGCGGCTGCTGCTGATGACGATGATGATGTTGATGATGACGAAGGTGATCATGATTACCATGATGATGACGTTGATGATGATCATGATCACGAGTATGATTACGTTAACAATGATGATATTTCTGATCTTTTTGCTGCCGTTGGTGGTGTTGATGGTGCTGGCGCTGGTGATGATGATGATGTTGATGATGCTGACGATGCTGCTGCTGCTAATGACGATGCTGGTGCTGCTGATGATGATTTTGATGATCATGATGATGCGGATGATCTCGAGTATGTTTATGTTAATATTAGATGTTTCTGATAATGTTGATGCTGCTGGTGGTGTTGATGCTGCTGGCGATGGTGATGCTGATGGTGATGATGATCATGACCATGCTGATGATGATGCTGATGATAATGCGGATGTCTGTGACGATGATGACGATGATGATTATGACTACGACGACGATGATAATGATGATGCTGCAGATGATGCTGATGACGACGATGACGATAGTGATGGTGATGATGCGGACGAAGTCGAAATCGATGCCGACACCGATTATGAGCATGGTGCTGCTGTTGATGACGTTGATGATGGTGATGATTATGTTGAGGAGGAAGGTGAGAAGATGGTGGAGAAACGGGGACAAAAGCTCAGAAGGGGGATGCGAATAGTTGGAGGAGAGGGCGATGAGGAGGAGGAGGAGGATCAGCATAACGACGACGAGGAGGAGGAGGAGGAGTTGGAGGGTTTTGCTTTTTGTTGATGATGGTGGTGCTGATGATGAGGAGGAGGTGGAGGAGGACGAGAACATATGTGGATGAGGACCATTCTGATGATGATGCTGTTGCTGCAGTTGACCATGATGATGCTGATGATGTTAACGATGATATGGTTGATGATGCTGATGATGATGATGATGATGATGATGATGATGATGCTGATGCTGATGCTGATGACGCTGATGTTGATGATGCTGATGCTGATGATGACGATGATGAGGCTGAGGAGGAGGAGGATATGGAGGTGAACGAGGATGCGTAGGAGAAACATGAGGAGGAATCAGAATAGGAGACGGAGACGAGCAGGACAAGTGGGGGTGTGTGGGTGACGGGGGGTGGGAAATATGAGGAATGCGATGATGAATGTGATGTCGGCGATGCTAATGAGGATGTGGAGGAGGAGGGCGGTGGAGGTGGTGATGGTAACGATGATGGTCGTGGTGACGATGGCAGGTGATTTGGCGATGGCAATGAGGGTAGAATTGGGAGGAGGAGAAGACGGATGGGGATGGATTGCAGAAGGATGCGGATGAGGATGAGGATGTTGGTGTTGTTGATGCTGATGTTGACGATGATGCGACTGATGCTGCTGATGCGGATGCTGATGATGATGCTGATGCTGATGCTGATGATGCTGATGCTGCTGGTGATGATGCTGCTGGTGATGATTCTGATGGTGATGCTGATGCTGATGATGACGATGTTGTTGATGATGATGGCGATGCCGACGACGCTGATGATGCTGATGATGGTGATGACGATGCTGCTGATGATGATGAGGATGATGCGGACGCTGATGTTGATGATGTTGATGATGCTGATGATGCTGATGATTACGATGACGATGATGATGCTGATGATGAGGGTGACTGTGATAATGATGCTGTTGATGATTATGATGCTGATGATGCTGATGATGACGACGATGACTGTACGGCTGATGATGATGATGATGCCGATGCTGATGATTATGGTGATCATGCTGCTGCTGATGATGATGATGCTGATGATGATGATGATGGTGATGATGATGATGATGATGATGATGATGATGATGATGAGGTGAGGAGCAGAATGAAGAGGTTGAGGATGCGGATGCGGATGAAGATGAAAACGAGGATGATGATGCTGATGATGATGATGATGATGATGATGATGATGATGATGCTGATGCTGATGATGATGATGATGATGATGATGATGATGAGGCTGATGATGTTGATGTTGATGTTGATGCTGATGATGATGCTGTTGCTGCTGCTGATGATGATGATGCTGATGCTGATGGTGCTGATGATGATGAGGAGGAGGAGGAAAAGCACGAGGAGGGAGAGGAGGAGGAAGAGGAGGAGGAGGAGGAGGAGGAGGAAAAGAAGGAAAAGGAGTCAGGAGAGGACAGAAGGAGGAAGGGTTTAGGCAGGAAGGGATGGAGGGAGGTGTGATAGGGAGATAGGGAGCTGTGGGGGTGGGTGGGGGCATGGATGGTCGGGGGGGATGGAGCGAGAGAAAGAGAGAGAGAGAGAGAGGACTGGAGGGAGAGGGGTCGGGAGGGAGGGAGTGGGAGGGAGGGAGGTGGAGGGGGAACGGGTCATCACACTGCAGCAATGAAGCAGTGTTGCAAGTATACGGTTTGAACGTGACGTTTAACGTGTACAGTGGGAATGTTCGAACACTCGCAAATCTTCCTGCACGGTAAAGCCGTTACTCTTTGCGTGTGGCACGCTCAGCGCCCCCCCTTGGGTACACTAAGCTCTGGCTTTTCCCAACCATCTTGTGGTGTTGGGTCTTCGTTTTCAAGAGACAGCGCCCCCCGTCTCACTCCTTCCCCCTGCTGTCCCCTCCTTCTCCCTCTTCTCATCGTCAGCATCGTTATCATAGTCGTCATCATCATGACACTAATCGTCAGCATCATCGTCATCGTCATCGTCAGCGCTGGCATCGTCACCATCATCGTCACCCATTTCGGCACACCCCTCACACGTTTCGTGGTCCCACAGGGAGCACCACCGAAGGCCCCAGCGCTTCCGCTCGCATGCACCCACTGCGCCCAGTTTGGCACACCCTTCACACGTTTCGTGCTCCGATCTGGAGCTCCACCGAAGGCTGGCTGCGTTCGCATACGCCCGCCGCGCCCATGTCGGCACACCCCTCACACGCTTCGTTGCCCCATAGGGAGCCCGACAGAAGGCCCCAGTGGCTGCGCTCGCACGCGCCAACCGCGCCCAGTTCGGCACACCCCTCACACGTTTCGTGGCCCCATAGGGAGCTCCACCAAAGGCCCCGGTGGCTGCGCTCGCATGCGCCCACCGCACCCATCTCGGCACACCCCTCACACGCTTCTTGGCCCCATGGCTGCGCCCGCATGCGCCCACCGCACCCATTTCAGCACACCCCTCACACGTTTCGTGGTCCGATAGGGAGCTCCATCGAAGGCCCCAATGGCCACGTTTGCCCCATAGGGAGCTCCACCGAAGGCCCCAGTAGCTGCGCTCGCATGCGCCCACCGCACCCACTTCGGCACACCCCGCTCGCATGCGCCCACCGCACCCATTTCGGCACATCGATCAAACGCTTCGCGGCCCCATGGGGGCCCCCACCGAAGGCCTTATGGCTGCGTTCGCATACGTCCACCGCACCCATTTCGGCGCACCCCTCACAGGGTTCGTGGCCCCATTGGGAGCGCTACCGAAGAA